CAACTTGGGGCGCAAGACAGGAGACGCGTGCGACGCGTGGGGCGCGGGAGAAGACCAAGACTTCGGAGGACAAGGACAAGCCGTGACGGCTAGGGTTTGGTCGAGGCGCGCGGCACAAAGGGACGCGCGATCCTTCTAGAAGACCTAGGGCCGATTATCACTAGCATAATAGGAATCATAGTTTGGTTAGGTCATTGAATAAAAGGCATGTGCCTATGTAGTTTAGGTAAGTCTATATTTACTAGGTGTTTACTTTCCTTAGGACTTTATTTGTTTACTTGCATTAGGAGTACTACTTAGACTAGGATTAGATCTAATTGGTATCTATAAATACCACCCATATGTCATCGAAACTAGGATTGGAAAAGTAATAGAAAATCGTTCGTGAGAACAAAACCGTGTGTTTAGAATTCGTGAGAGTTTTATCATACAACCGAGTTGGCAAGGCTAAGACCCGAACCATCTCAAAATCGTGAGAAAATAAGGCTAATAACCGAGTCGTCCACACCTATCGTCGAAGGACAAGCCGTGGCAAAGCTAGTTCGAGGCAATCGAGTTGGGAAAACACACGATCCTTCATCACCGGGTCAGCTCGCGCGCGGAAATGGCCAAGGTAAGTGTCTCTCAAATTTTCTCTCCAACTCTCACTATATGCTCGGGCTTCAAGTTGTGTAAGAGCTTACAAGGGACTAAAAAGGCTCCTTAATTACTGATTTGGGCGGAGATAGCTAGGTGACTTTGTGGCGGACAAATGAAGTGGGAATCCCATCTCATGGCATGGAATTTAGGTCCAAGACCTTGGGCATGCTTAAGGCCTGACTTTGCACGGTCTTTGAGCTTATTTTAAAGTATAAAAATCATGGTGGAGAGGTCAGGTCAGGTCTGGCATGGGGGTGGGGGACAAGGACAAAGGAATCTTGAATATTTTAATGTAAGGCACATGTCCACTTTGGTTAAGCATAGTTTGACTTTGGCTAATCTTCATTAGGGCCATTTTATCTTAAACTGATCCTTATTAAGTCCTAATTACACGCATGGATTGGGTCATGGAGGATTTGGGCCGAAACTTTGCCATTTGGGCTCAAGAAGGTGGGCTGCCAAAGCTGGCGCTGGGCTGGGCGCTGGGCCCTGGGCTCGGGGACGCGGGCTGGGCTGCACGGGAATGACTAGGGCCGAGTAAAATTCTTAGGTTAGGCCTTCAACACACTTAGAAAAGGATGAGCAAAGGATGATAAGGCTTGGACCAATGCTTAGGGCTCGGTGAATGTGCGTGGGCGCGGCTAATGGCGCGGGTCCGAGGCTCCGGCTCGAGGCTCGGTTAGGGCTCGATTTCTAAATGATCAAAACTTAACTTTGGTATTATTATACACTTAGAAAAATATTCCAATTATAAAATACCAATACTTGGCTAGGCTCGGAATTTACTAGAAAATAACTCGGAACCGAACTAGGGTTTGTAGTTGATAATTTCTCGAATCGACTTGCTATTATTTAACAACCCAAATTAATGGATTAATCTTAACTTAAACTTGATATAAAATTATTCAAAGAATAATTTACCATATTTGAGCATTTAGCATACTAATTATAACTCGGGAATTTCTGAAAATTTCAGATTTCACTTATAGTCGAGCAGTGAAACCGTTCTTACTATTATTAATGATTTGGGGCGTTACAGTTTATACTATGGTTGAGATTTGTAGCTTGTTTAATTATGTACTAGCCTTTCAGCAAATGGGTAACACCTTTGTTGGAATGGAATTCAATGTAAGTTTCTGGCATTTGGGTAACACCATTTGTTAGATGGTAAAGTTAAGCTTCTGGCAATTGGGTAACACCATTTGTTGGATGTAGAAGGAAAAGTTAATGCTTCTAGTTTTTGGGTAACACCATTTGCTAGAGGGATATGAGTTTAATTATTCATGTTATATGTCGATGTCATACGATTTGTTTATATTGAATGTTTTACATAGAAACTATTCCTCAATGAGTAAGTGGAAATGCTCACCCGTATTTGTTTTTCACACCCAGGTTGTTAGAGTTGGCAACAGAGCAATGGCGAGGGTGGTCAAATAATTAAAGCCGCTTCCGAATTTTACTGCTTTTAAGATATTCCCAGGAATAAGACAATGCATGAGTTTATTTCTTTTATAATTATTTTAGACACTGCGAAGCATGTTTTATGTTTTGATTCATAATCAAGTTTACTTATGTGAAGTATGGTAAATGAGTATGCAATGAGCTATGGGATGATAAGTTTACAAGGCTATGAAAGTTTCAAAATAGTTGCGCACTTGAGCTTTCAAATCTTCTTAAGAAAAAAGAATAAGAAAAAACGTATTCGAGAAATTCAAGGTATGAAAAACAGGGTGTTACAGTATCTTAGTACACAACCACAACGTGAGTAAACCTCATTGCTCAAGTCTCGCATCCTCTTAAACTCAACATTCAATAATTTCATACAGTGATGCGATACATGCAGTGACAAGTACGCGAAAGAGAATCCCGTATACTGCAGAGCCTTCCTAAGTCTTAAAGACTCCAACGTGTACCTGATAATACATTACATAACATTACACCCAATTAAATTCATAATTTATGCATTAATAACACAGTAAATATGTGTAGCTTAATAAATGTACCTGAGCAACACTTTTGGAAACTTCACGTATCGAACATACAGTTCACCTATGACAATGTTGTGTTCATCCTCCGTACCCGCTTCGACAGCCTTCTTCCACCTACCATGTGCGAACTTCTGAGTGAAGTCCTTATTTTTCCAAAGTGTTTATAGACTTTGTCTTCCACATCCTTGTTGATGTCCCATGTGCTTAGTAAGTGGGCAGTTTTTGAAAAGTTCCTCTGAATAGAAACCATCAAGCCCACCTCCCTATCAGTGACAATGGTATTAGGATGTAATTCAGACCCTATCGGAAGTCTCAACCTCTGTAGAACCCAGTCATAGTTGTACTCGCTCTTGTCCTTGATAATTGCATATGCAATTAAGAAGTTCTTGTCGTACGGCGTCATCCCAATAATTTCCACCAACGACATCTGGTACCTGTGCAAATGAGAGCAACAAGAAGAAACATAGAATCAAAAACTTACTCAAACATACTAATTAAGATTCATACTAGTTTGTTATTTATAAAGTAACATATATAATGGTTTTGTACGTCGAATCTATACCGATGTATCAGTAATATATCCGGAATAGAATGACTGCTTGAGGATGCGACATGAACATAAGTGTCAACGCGTGTGTGTCTTGATCAACATATGTATAAACTATATATTTGCTATCTGAATTCAAATGCAGAATCTGGGTAGTCACATATCTACCCTCCAAACTCTCTCTTCGCAATTTATCTCTATAGTTATACACATGCCGCTAAGTAGCGTTGTCTAGCGAGTTTTTATCCTGGATTGCAGCCAAAATTACTACTGGTTTTTCCTGAGAAGAAGTCATATCACGGATAATCTGTTTAGATGAAACGCTAAGTCCGTTTTGGGATCTGTGAGGATCTCTTTATGTACAAATCACGAAATCAATAGAAAACGTAAACATATGCGCAGCAGATCTAAATGTTTTACGTAGAAAACTTACGGCTTAAAATTTTCTGAATCTATCGGATTCGGGATGACTGAGAACAGCACACGAACAGAACTGGATCACACGAACGGGATGACGAGATCGAGTCGTGTTGGATGCAGCAGCCGTGTGGATCGCGTCCCGGTTAGTCGCGAGTCATGTCGCGTCGGGGGTCGTCGGTCGTTGCATCGCGGATGGTGTCCGTCGGCTCCGGCTGGCGATCGGCGGCTTCTTCAGGAAGGCTGCTCGGTGGTCGGCGGTCCTCGACCTTCGGGTCGTGGACCGTTGATTGCTGTAGAAGATTACCGGTTCTCGATTACCTATGGATCTTCTACTGTATTACTCAAACACCTTCTTCAACTTGTACCAGTGGAGCAACAAGAAGAAGATAAAGCTCGAATGAGAACTGAGAGAGAGAGAGAGGAGAGGGGAGGATGATTTCACGTGATTGTGGAATTCTGTTCTCTTCTCGTAAGCTTAATGATGTATATATAGAGCTACAGTAGGGACCCTTAGGAGATTGGGAATAGGGCTCCTTAATTAATAAGACTAACTGGGGCCCAAACCCACTCCTCTAATTAATTAAATAATATTATGGGGCACAAACATAATATTATTGCACTCCCTTTTCCTAGCCCAAATTACATTTGAGACTCCAATTATAATTACTCATTTAGCTCCCCACATTTAAGATATAATGTCCATTAATTAATTTGATTACTGATAATCAAGAATTAATTAATTTATTATTATTTCACCGAAGCTAGCACTCGTTCATCACATTCTTATTATGCAGAACTTAATCCACCTGCAGGGTTTAGCATAACAATCCTTCATGAACACACTCCGGGAACATCATCAAACTAACGCACATGGTGACCGTAAATATCCTAACAGCACATCCTATATATATAGTACTATTACCCAAGACAGTAGGAATATTAATCCAGCGAACTGAACCTCACCCAAGTGAATCAAAGAAATATGCACTACATATATATGCCTGTTTAATATCTTACGAGTTAAGAGCAGTAATTAACCGAGGCCTAGTTTGTTTACGACGATCAGTATAAAACGAACTTTTCCTCTGTGGGATCTTGTTCAATACATAAATGTACTAGTGCAACTAATCAGTCAAGACAAACTGTACAGTTGACACTACAACCATTTGGATGAGGTGTTCATTTCCATCTAGGTTGTGAACCGCTATTCTTGTTTCGCAAGTAACTAATAGAATGATATTCGGTTCGCCCGATGACGACCCACTCTATCTAAGTGCAAAACAACAGAACATAGAACTTGTTTAATTTAACATGATTCTCATTCATTTTTTTTTCTGAAACGATAGGAAATTCTCATTGCAAACACAAAAACCAATACAATGTTTGATCAAATATGACATACATACCCACAGGTATCACCCGAGCGAAAACACACACAACCTAGGGCTAAAAACCAGAAAAAAAACAATACATAGAAACATTACAGCCTAGATAGCAAACCCAAAAGAGATAGAAGACAAACAACAATCTGCTAGAGGCAGTCAATTTTGCACTGAAAACCTGCAGTAGAAAAACTACACAAACTAAAAGCCGAACAAAAGAGCAAAACCAACTAGCAAATTCAACCACTGTACTGCAAACCAGACCTAGCTAAATTTGAACGCGATCTCTGTGAGTCTTCCCAGCTATCTGCGAGTATTCCATCCATTCACATATTGCGGTTTTGACAATGGTACACTCGGGTCTCCAGACGCCTTCAAATTTCCATAAATTACGCGACTTCCACAGCCACCATAAAATGTACGTCGTCAGTTGCATCCTGGCTTCAGAAGTCTCCGTCTTGTCAACTGAGCAAATAAAACCCCACCAATATTTGAACCTGCATTCCTCATTATTTAACCCATTCCAACTGATTGGTGCCAGTTCCCAGACTCTTCGTGCTCTTCTTCACTTAAAGAAAACATGTTTGACCGTTTCTACTTCCTCTACACAGCTACTGCATATCACATCCACTCTCATGCCCCATTTTTTGGAGATTAACACTAACTGGTAAGATCCCATTAAAACATTTCCACACAAAATGTTTTAATTTGCCTTGTACCCACATCTTACAGCTCCTCATTTTAACTTTCTTGGCCCTTTCCCTTGTGTTGCTTCCTTCAACTATGTCAAGTTTTTGCAAATTCCTGTTCATCAAGAAAGAATATGAGGTAGACACTAAAAACTTTTCATTTGATCCCATACTCCACTCCCATCTGTCCTCCTCATGTGGGTTAAGAGTGTTTATGGCTAACACTGCAGTACTGTCAGCTTCATCAAAAACCTCCTGCACTCTTTGCTCATTCTAGTGTATTCCAGTGTCATTTATCAGCTCCTTCACAAGCATCTGGGTGCATCTTCCTTCATTCAACAAATGTGGTTTTCTTCCCAAAGCTCCCCGAATCTAATTGAAATCATTTACTTTTAATGAAGCACCATATTTGACTTCTACCCTCAGCCCAGCTTTCAGCAACCCTTTGATTTGCCACCAGCACCTTCACTGCCATGAAGAATTTTGTGTGATTTTTACCTCAAAAATGGAATGAGTAGGGAAATACTTGCTCTTGATCACTTGACTCATCAAGAGGTTTGGTTGTGTGACTACCCTCCATAACTGTTTTACCAGAATTGCTTCATTAAAGAGGGTAATATCCTTGAAACCTAGACCTCCACTGTCTTTTGGGGTTGTAACCAAATCCCATCTTTTCCAATGAATTCCTTTTGACATGTTATCACCTGTACTCCACCAAACTTGGGTAAATAAACTAGCAATCTCCTTGGAAGTTCCTGTTGGCAGTCTAAAACATGTCATCACAAAAATAGGTAAAGCATTTAGCACTGCTATTACCAGAAACTCTCTTCCAGCAGCTGAGAGATATATGTTCTTCCAATTGGTAATTCTCTTCCTGACACAGTTCAGAACAAAGTTGAAAACTTCATTCTTGGATTTCCCTATCCCAAGTGGCAAACCAAGATACCTTGTTGAATTTTGAAGTTGAATGCCACTTAGGATAACACAAACTCTTTGTATCTGATCTTGTAAGGAATTCTTGCTAAAAAAATTGATGACTTAGAGAGGTTGACCTGTTGCCATGAGAATTGTTTATATTTTTGCAGCATCTCCATAAGCGCCATTGCATGATGTGTGCCTGCCTTACAAAATATCAGAGTGTCATCTGCAAAAAACAAATGTGACAGAACAGGGCCATTTCCTGCGAAAGACACCCCTCTAAATTGACCTCTGTCCATTCGGTTGGTAATTAAAGCAAAGAGAAGTTCTGACACTAAAATGAATAGATATGGGGACAAGGGATCCCCTTGTCTCAGCCCCATTGATGCTTTGAAAAACACACATGCTGCACCATTAATAAGAACAGAAAATGATGTTGTAGAAACATAAGTCATGACCCACTGCACAAACTTCAGCCAAAACCCATTCTTAACATTGTTTGATTTAAACACTGCCATTCTATCCTGTCATAAGCTTTTAGCATGTCCAATTTCACTGTTCTATGTCTGTTAAGAAAGTGGAACACCTCTTGGGCACTCACAACATTATCACTCAACAATCTTCCTGGGATAAAAGCAGCTTCGGTTTGCCCAACACAGTGATTAATGAAATTTTTCAATCTCAGTGTCAAGATTTTTGAAATCAATTTGTACACCACTGCACACTAACTAATGGGTCTAAATTGACTGATGCTCACTGATTAGTGCATTTAGGAATAAGAGCAATTAAAGTATGATTCCAGTATTTTAGCAATCTTCCAAAATTTTAAAAAGCTCCCAATAGCTTCACAAAGATCCACTTTAATTAAAGGCCAGAAGTGTTGAAAAAATAAAGCTGACATACCATCAGCACCTGGTGCTTTCTTTGGGCTGAGACTGAATAGAGCATGCTTTATCTCTTCTTCAGAGATAAGAGCTTGTAAATCTTCATTCATCTTAGGTGTTATGGAGGGTGTAATGTGTTGTAGGAGCTCCTGCCCATTTGTTGATCCCTTTGTAGTGAATAAATGTTCATAATAAGATGATATATGCACTTCCAGTTCCTTCTTTGTCTCAAAAATTTGATCCTACTCAGTCACTAGTCTGCTGATTGCATTCTGCTTGCTCTTCTGTAACACATAGGCATGAAAAAAGTGAGTATTCTGGTCCCCCTCCTTGAGCCAATTAAGTCGAGCTTTTTGTTGCCAAAACATCTTCTCAGAACAGTACGAATCTTCCAGTTCTCTCTTAACTTAGTCCCACTCCTCCCAATTCCTATCTCCTGCAGCAGCTCTCATTTCCTCAAGTTTCGAAGTGAGTCTCTGTACTTTACTGTCCCAATCAGCCTTAAAATGCTTACTCCACAACAGCAAGGCTTCTATAGTTTTCTTGACCCTCTCTTTAAGTTTGAACATTGGGGTTCCAGACTGTTGTTCATTGTAAGCCTCATTGATAATGTCCTTAATCCCATTCCTTTGGACCCACCTGCTATCAAAATGAAACCTCCTCTTGCTCTTCCTCACCCCAAGACAAGCTTCCACCACCAACATACAATAATCGGAGGAAACTCTGAATATAAAGGTGACTTGAGTGTTGGGGTACTCACTTAACCAGCCTAGCGATACAAACATTTTGTCTAAAGACTCCTCCACAAAACCCTCTCCCTCCCGATTCCCTCATGTATATGGATACCCCTTCAAAGTAATCTCCTGCATATGCATAGCAGCAATGAAAGATTGAAAACCCACTAGGCTGCTATCATGTCTCTGCCTGCCACCTCTTTTGTCATCTGCCCTTGAGATATCATTCCAATCACCTGTGACACACCATCTCTCTCCCCACTGATCCTTTAAACCCACCAAATATTCCCACTGCCCTTCCCTGATCCTCCTGTCTGTGCTCATATACACAAAAGTAGCATATTGAACCAAATCTGCATTGTCCAGTTTAAACTGGACTTCTATGCAAAAAGAGTGTCTGAATTGAAATGATATCCACATTGTCTGCCCATAGAAGCAGTAATCCACCACTCATCCCAGTGGGATCCACATATAGAAACCTATCCTTGAACCCTAATTTCTTACATACAGTTTTACAGAAATGACATTGTTGTTTTGTCTCTGACAGAAATATAAAATGTGGGTGATGGGTCCTTATATAACTCCTTTATCTGGGGATGTACTGCCCTGTTTGATAATGGAATATTTGGGAATAAATAATTATTATTATTATTATTTATCTTTGTTTGTTGTTATTATTAATGTTAATTGAATGCTAAATGTTACTAAATGTCTAATATGATTTATTTTTCAAATTGCGTTTAAATGCCTAATTGTCTAAATATTATTTAATTGCCAATTTGTAATTAAGGTGCCTAAATGTCTAAATATAATAAATTGCTAATCATAACTAATTATTTAATTTCCGCAATTTATCTTGCTATTAAAATTATTATTTTTAAATTAATGTGTGTGTATTATGAATAAATAAGTAAAATCCGGTTTATTTATTTTAGCGTGCGCCTTAATCGAGCCCAAGAAAACCAAAACCCGAACCGTTAGGTGAACCGGCTGACCCGCGAGCCCGACAACCCGACCTGGTCCGCCCATTAAGCTGTGTGAGAGTTTCTTGTGGATCAAGATTAATTAACCCTAAGTCTCGACCCTTTTTCTCGCTCCAATATCAGAAGAGAGAACGACCGTAGCTTTATTTTCACATCTGCTCCGTCAATCTTTTCCCTCGCCCCGACCTCAATCTGCTCTCATCTTGCGCCTCTTTCTCTCGTTCAGAAAGGAGAATACCGATCGCGCATGTTATCTTCTCACGAGAAGAACTTAATCGATCGCCTCACCATCATCCCGCTTCTATCTTCCCCTTCTTCTCTGAAAATTTTTTCGATCACCATCACCAACCCCTCGCCATCTCATGTCCCCGAAATATTTCCCATCGCCGCTGACCCCCATCTCGCCACCGCGGCAAGCCAGCAAGGCCGCGACCTCCTACCGCCGGCGAGTACATGAACCTGCGACTTCCGGCAACCAGTCACACCCCTCTCTCGTTCTCTGCGATTTCCTTCCGGCGAGTTTAGTGGCCCTGTCATCACGAGCCGCGACCCCACGATCACTCAACTTCGCCAGCGAGTTCATCCTCACGCACTGACGTCTGCTCGTCCACATCGCAGCCCCTCAGCAGCGGACATCGACGCCGGACCGCACCTCTGCTCCATCGACCTGAGCCGCCGTCCTCCCCCTCGTGAGCCGTGTGTTGCCGTTCGAGCCCGTCAACCCTCCGTCCCGTTTTTTGAATGTTTCCTGAGAATGGTACCGACGGCTTGAACCTTTCATCTTTTCGCGTATTGATTTTGATTTTATGTTCATGTGTCGATTTAATGTGTTCTATGATTATATAAGTGCCTATGCTTTCATGTGTTTGGAAATTGGTTCGATATAAATGTGAACGTGTGTAGACGAGCTCGTCGATTTTGTGCAATCGAACGACACCTCGTCATTCGTGTATAGGACTGTGGAAAAATGGAACGTTGTTGAGTTCTTGGTCTTATGGCGAAGACCTTGGACGAATTGGTCGACTATTGAATTGGTTATGATTTTTCGAACCGTGCTAGCTGCTGAATATTTGTTAAATTCATAATAAATTGCTCGCTGGTCCGTTTGCCTTGAAATTTTGAGGGTAATTTCCTCTGTTGATTATATAGCTTGTGTAAAAAATTCATGATTTTAGGAAGTCTGTCGCTATTTTAATAAATTAAAATGATTTCTGGTCAGTTTCATATTAATTGCATAATAAATCGTGTAGTGCTCGAAATTTTCTGAAATTCGAATATGTTGTTCTCCTGTGTTTTTTAGGCGCTGTTAGCTTAGGTAAATAAATTATTTTATGTTTCTGTCAGAAATTGTTTTAATTGTGAAAAATTGATCTATTTCTGAAAAATTATGATTTTTGGTTGAAGTGCATGTATTGTGGTATATTTCATGCTGTTAAAAATTTGAAATTTTTGAAGTTTATTTAGATTCAGTTATGTTGAAAATTCGAAAAAAGATGAATGTTGTAGCAATTTTAATAAATCTTATGTTAGGAGTTTAGGGCTGATAATTTTACACACTGCTATGCACATGATGATGTTCCTTAGATAAAAATTTCATAGGTTAATTCATTCATTTGATCTGGTTGCTAATATATGCTCGCTTTTGCCATAAACTTGCTCGAATTTTATATAATAGCATGCTTTGAGTTTGGGGCTGAAAATTGGTGGTTTTACTAAGTTCTGGAAGGTGAAATTTTGGTTAAAATTTCAGAGTTAAACTCATTTGATAACCTGACCAACTTATTTTTGTGATTTAAGTTTAGTATTCTTAAGTATATGGCTTTTGCAATAAAAACTATAAATCGACTCGCCTCCCGTTTCCTTTGAGTGTTTGACTTGGTAAATATTTGTTTTGGACTATGTGAACTCTCATGTGTTTTTGGTTGAATCTTAATGTCGCGTCTAAGTGTTCCAACGTCCACAGGACTTCAAGAATAACTTAGTCGAATCAAGTTCGGCTAAGTATAATTGTGATTTCCATTTAAGTCAAATAGATGTTGATTATAGGATTTGGACTTAATGTGGGTGTTTGAGGAGTCGAGCCCTCGACCTACCGACTTGTTTGTGTGCCTTTTCTACCGAATTACCAGGTGGGTTGTTATTCTAAAATCGTCTATGCAATAAATTGTTTACCTTACTTGTATATGATCAATGTATGCTTACGAATCATATAGCCTTCGATGTGAGCTGTATCGGCCATTGAATGGTTGTCCCGTATGTATGAAAATAAACTCGAGGGGTTACTCCTACTGACTGGGCATCGATAGAAGCCCATGGAGCATTCGATGTGTAAGACCGGAGGGCATAGACGTAAAGCCCATGGGGCGTTCGATAGAAGCCCGAGGGGCATTCGATGATTCTACCGGCAGTAGTCTATTGGTATATATGTAACACCCCGCTCATCAGAGTAACTTTTTCGCATTCTTTTACTGCGAAAATACTTATAAATATTTCGATATCTTTTGCGAATAATTCGGGATGCTACTCAACATCATTTTCTTGAAAATCCATTTATCTTTAAACTCTTGTCTAATACTTCTCTAGACATAAAGAAAAAAGATTTCCTTTAAACTTGCATTTAACTATACCATATTCATACTTCTCGAAATGGTAAAAACTTGAAATCTGAAATTTATTAGAAATGCAACTTCAATACTTAATGTGCATAGGGGAAATACTTGAAAACGTGATTAATTATACAGACTGTTATAAATGTCCATATAAAAGCTTGTCATATTCTGAATCCACAATCCACACCAGCACTGCTACACTCACACCTCCTCTTCGACCTGTTACCTGAAAATAAACTTATGGGGATGAGTAACGAATAAAGATAATCATAAACCGATATATGATCGGTAACCAAAAATCTGTTCTGGTACTGAAACTTAAACTTTTCTCTTCTCTTCCGATATCTGATCGGATACGTGTGCACACTCTGATGGATATTTCTCAAGGCAACTCAAACGGCCTCCATCAGAACTTAGGATATACTCTGAGACAACTGAATGCCTCCTCATCCCAAGCGTATAAACTTAAACTTTAGGATATACTCTGAGACAACTGATGGTCTCCTTATCCCATATGACATCAATATCGTACTCAATGTGATACCCATTCAGGGTCCCCACCTTTTGTCTTTGAAAGCATTTGAAAAACGATAAGTGCTATACTGGTAATTGTATATGCAAGTTACATCAAATATAAACAAATATACTAAGTACTATGCTCGTATACTCAATAAGATACTAGGATTCTTAACTTATCCAAATCTTATAGAAATTCAATCGACATGCTATTGCTCAAGTTAATACTTAACTTAACTTTTCTTTTAACTTTTACTGAAGGTCAATTACTTAACCCCATATAAATCATATCTTCAAAAACATAAATATTGTCTTATACTCGCATGTCACTTAAATAACTCAAGTGTGAAAATAACTACATTTCACATTATACTTGATTGAGTACTTAAACTCAAAACATGTTTAACTTTTTCCAACATCATCAACATGATTTATAAACTCATCTTAACTTAACTTGATCTTTTACTCAATCAAATACTTAATTCATCATACATCATATCTCCCAAATTTTAGATATTGGCTTATACTAAATTTTCACTTAATTAACTTGAAAGTGAAAATAAACTCAAAATATACTCATCTTTTAATCATAACATTAAATCATGATATTAATATGTCATGCTTACTACAATCTTTATAAAATTGTATACTCAACATATTAAACTAAAACTTTGTCAAATTACTCATCACTTATATGAGAATTGATCATAATAATCTCACATTAACAACTTGAACATATCATGAATATTCTTGCATATATACTCATATTTACATATATGCCTTGTAATTATCATAACTCATTCATTTCTCATCTTCAAATCATGAAATTTAACAGTCATAATATCAACTCATAATTAGACATGTCATAAAAATTTCATAATTATATCATGTATATACATCAAGTTATTAGAATTTAAAGTCATAGTGAACATAAAATTCATCTTGCATGTTCATCATCAAAAATTCATAACTCAAGCTATACTTTGTCAAATAACTTAATTCTTGTTCTCAAATACTCCTCTTTTACACAAGAATTACTCATGCAAATCATACTTTTCCAGCTTATTCATATCTTCATCAACATCTCATCAAATCAAGCACATATATCATATGATTGATCTTAAACAACTCTAACTCTTTGTATTCATGTAATCAATTATAAATTCAACTTCTAAATCATGATATATATACTCATAAACATCTTAACTCATTATCAAAGCATGAACTTAAGTATGAAACTTTAGGATAAGTAAATTACCTTCTTCTTGCTAGAGTAAAAACTTGATTCTTTACTTCTATTCTTCACTTCTCCACAATTTCTACTACTTATCTCTCTTACACTCTTATATAACTTTTGGTACTTATCTTTGGTGTAAGAACTCTGATTTTTAGGCCTCTATTTATAGGCACAAAATCAAGACATAAGAATTGAGTGAAGAAATGAACAAAATAAACAATTTAATCTTATAAACTTAATTAATCATAAACTAATTAATGAGTAACTTGTATACTTCTCAAAAACATAGTTAATCCTCAAAAATAGCCTCTGGTTGAGATCACAATCGGATTCTCAATGATCAGACCTTACTGTCGGTCACACGACTCGTGTGACTTTACACGACTCGTATGGCTTGTCACACGACTCGTGTGAAAAAGCCAAAGCTAACTTTCATTCTCTTCTCCTCCCACACGACTCGTGTGCCTTGTCACACGACTCGTGTGGCTCATTCCACACGACTCGTGTGGCTTGTTCCTTGAGAAACTCTTAATTTTGAACTTATAACTGAATACTGGTCTCGAAATTAATCAAATCTTGGAACAAAACTGATACTTTACTGATAGGGATATTACAATAGATGTGCACATGAGTCTGAACACAATGAATTTAAGATGAAACCTAGGATACTTAAATTGTTTCATATACATGTTGTGATCGTACTATCTCTGTTACTGTTTCGATGTGTAAATGTTTATTGCATAGTGGTGAGCACTACGATTTCCAACTGTGCTCATCCCCACCAGAAATGAACGTTTCAGGTTAAGCAAGGTGGGTACGACGGCAGAGTAGAGCGAGTGGTAGTCGATCTATGAGACCGGTCATTAAATGATTTTGCTTCTGCTATCTTTATGACTATTTACGATTTACGCATTTTCGAACGTGAGAATTTATGAAGTATTGAGATACTGTTGGGGAGATGCCCCGTTGGCATTGTCATGTCTTAAAACTTGAAGTTTTATTTTGGCAACCCGTTTAGGTAAAATGGTAATTTATGGATTTATGGATCCCGGTTTGGGAGTTTGATTTATGTTATGAATTGATGTTATGTCATTTGAAAAATAAATGAGTAACGCCCTAAATACGTTTGAAATAAATTTTGAAAAATTTATTCTGATTTTCGACAAATAAAAGTGGGGCGTTACAGGGGAACTGTAGAGGGTGCACCCAAACCTCGACAGTTCCACATAAGAGCAATCATTTGTAACCTTGTGGCCACTCCAGGCTGGCCACCTCCACCATTATTTTACTTGTTTTCACCCTTTTACCCCTATCTTCCTCACCTCCTTCTTGTGCTTCCTATATACACATCAGTTCTTCTCCACTAGTTCTCATATTTTGCACTCTGCTTGGTTGCCTCTGTAATCTCCCTTCATTAGGTATCCTCTTCCATAGCTTTGGATTTTTCCCTTTTGGTGTGGGATGTACAACCACCAACTCCAATCCACCATTATCCTGATTCCCAGGTCTGCTTGCTGACTCAATTAGCATTGCTTCTGCATTCCTATCCACCTTGTTACTTTTCAGTGGTTCTGATAAGTGTAGTTGTCTTTGACCTGCACTTGTTGGAGATTCACTGACCCCTACTGTGCCTCCTGTGCCATTCCATGGAGATCTATTACTCCTTTACCTTTTCTCACTTCCTCCAACGGCAATTAGTTGCTTATCCCTATCCTCCTGTCCTCCTGCTTCTGTATCATGTGACCCAGCTGCTGATGACAAAGAATTATGTTGAGTAGCCACCTGAGGTCCTCCTCTCTGTTTAGTCCCTGGGTCTGGGCTCTTACCACTAGATGGAGGAGTAGTTTGAGCCTTGATCCACTCTCCATATCTGCCTACATGAACAGTTTTACCCTCAATGTCCTCCATCTTATTTGCACAATTCCTATCCAAATGCTCAATTCTTCCACAATAATAGCAAAGGTTCACCAATCTTTCATATTTGAATTTGACTTGAACCCTTTAGTCCCCAAACCGAATATGAGTACATCTGCGCAATGCTTCTGTGAGATCTACTACTGCCAATAACTTTAGAAAACTCCCAGTAGAACCACCCACATTACAAGTGGTTACATTTTTAACCTCTTTAAATACTCCCCCTACCTTCAGTCCAACTTCCTCACTCATCCAGTTCAAAGGGATGTTATGTACTTGTACCCACATATTGATCTCATCAAAACATGGATGTGCTTTGTTCAGCCCTTCACGCCATTCTTTCAGAATAAGGAATTGATTTTAGAACATCCAGTAATTACTCGCAGCTACTTTTGCATATCTTCTTTCTTGGTAAACAGGAATTGGAAAAAAAATTAAATCTAACTCACGAACCTCCATGGAGTCCTGGATCCTCCAAATCGCCAGCATCGCACAATTAAGTCCCAGAAGTCCTGCTTTTCTATCTCCGATGACTTTGCCAAAGAGATTTCTACTACAATCCCCCGCACTGGCTTTGATGTCATCAAACCCAATTTCTATTTCCCCCGCTTCCTTTGCCGACAATGAGATATCTTCTAATTGTTGGCTAAGCTCCTCTTTCCCAAAATACGAGTTCAATGGTTCCATGTCAAATGTCAATTTTCCTTCGAACCCTAACCACTTCAAAAACCCCTAATTAGAATATCCCCAATTTTCCCAAATCTAATTTCCTTCGAACTTTCTACCCTCCCCCCTCAGTCGCTAAACAAAAATACAAAAGAAATGATCTTGATTACGATCTACCTTCACTGAAGGAATGAAGCCTCACCAAGGAAATATTTCGCTCCCATGAGAGAGAATATGTGTAGCAATAAAAGTAATATAAAAAGTTCTCCAATCTAACATGATTCTCATTCATAAAGGGAAAAAGTGTAATAACGTGCAAAGCCAAGCTTTCAATATATAACACTAACAATCTCCCATATATACTTAAAGTTTTCGCTTTTACAGTATAGTCCAATCAATCAGTTATTCTAAAAGACCTATGTCGATCCTATTGCCATGCACCTGACTCCCATTTCTTCCACGTGTTTGACGAAGACCTTCCCCGGCAAACTCATCGTGAAAGGATCAGCTAGGTTGTCCTCTGATGCAATCTTGGCAACATCAACGTCTCCTCTACTAACAATATCTCGAAACAGATGGTACTTGCGCTCTATGTGTTTGCTTTCTCTATGGGCTCATGGTTCCCTGAGTTCGCTACTACTCCACTGTTATCACAGCACACGGCGATACAACGTGGCAAACTCGGAATCACCTCTAAGTCCACCAAACTGCCTCTGAGGCTGCTATGTACCCGACTTCAATGATGGAGTCTACCACGCATTTCTGCTTAGCACTCCTCCATGAAATGGCTCCACTTCCCAAGGTAAACATATAACCTGAGGTTACCTTACTTTCATCCCTATCTGACTGGAAATCAGAATCACTGTAACCCAGAGGTAACAAGATGTCTACACGGTAAACTAACAGGTACTCCTTAGTCCTTCTCAGGTACTTGAGTATAAGTTTCACCGCAGACCAATGTTCCCGTCCCAGATTACTTTGATATCTAGCTACCATGCCAACGGCGTAGCTAATATCCGGACTTGTACACAGCATAGCATACATAAGACTTCCTATTACCGAAGCATAAGGAACTGTCTTCATGTCCTCTATCTCTTGAGGCATCTTAGGAGAAATCTCCTTCGATAAATGTATTCCATGTCTGAAAGGTAACATACCTCTCTTGGAATCCTGCATACTGAATCTAGCCAAGACAGTATCTATGTATGAAGACTGGGATAAGCACATCATTCTCTTCTTACAGTCTCGAATGCCCCTAATACCAAGAATGTGTCCTGCTTCACCTAAGTCCTTCATATCAAACTGCTTAGACAACCACACCTTTACGTCTGATAACTCCTTCTTACTGTTTCCAATAAGCAGTATGTCATCTATGTAAAGCACAAGAAACACCACCACGCTCCCACTGATTTTCTTGTACACACAGTGCTCATCCGGACATTGAGTGAACCCGTACGATTGGATCACCTCATCAAAACAGATGTTCCAAGATCTCGAAGCTTGCTTCAGTCCATAAATAGACCGATTAAGCTTACACACTAGATGCTTACGTTCTTTAGCAATGAATCCCTCCGGTTGCTGCATATAGATGTCCTGCTGAAGGTTCCCATTAAGGAAAGTCATCTTAACATCCATTTGCCAGACCTCATAATCCAAATGAGCGGCTACAGCCAAGAGGATCTGAATGGACTTAAGCATAGCTACTGGCGAAAAGGTATCATCATAATCAATACCCTCGATCTTTGTATTACCTTTCGCAACCAGCCTAGCTTTGAAGGTTTGTACCTTCCCATCCGATCTTCTCTTTCCGTTATAGATCTACTTACATCTAATGGGTCGTACCCCATCGGGTGGTTCTACAAGATCCCAGACCTGATTGGAGTCCATTGACCCCATTTCAGCTTTCATTGCAACATTCCATGAATCTGCATCTTTATCTTGGAGTGCCTCATCGTAAGTTCTTGGGTCCGATTCAAGGTTTCCTAGAACTCAGTCTGATGTCTCTCCAAGACCTATCCATCGATCGGGTAAATGATAAACCCTCCAACTACGACGAGGTACTGTCTGCACTGGTACACTCTCAAGGTGTCCGTGTTGTAGTATTATGTGATGTATCTACTTGCGCACTCAGTGGAAAACCATCGACTCACTCTTTAACTCCTCTAAGACTAGTCTACTCGCGGGCTTATGATTCATAATATAGTCTTCTTCCAAGAATCTAGCATTCGTGCTAACGATCACCTTCTGATCCTCGGGACTATAAAATAATCCACCTTTCATTCCTTTGGGATAGCCAACGAAAACTCGTGCTTCTGAACGTTTCTCCAACATGCCAGCTTTTTGCACTAACACGTGTGCAGGGCTACCCCAAACTCGAAACTGTGAGAAACTGGGCTTGCGCCCTTTCCACATCTCATAAGGAGTGGTATCAACTGACTTCAATGGAACCATGTTCAGAATGTACGATGTTTTCAACGCCAAACCCCAGAACGAATCTGGTAACCTCGCATAACTCATCATCGACCTAACCATCTCCATAAGAGTCCTATTTCTTCACTCTGCAACCCCGTTCTACTGGGGCGTGCCAGGTGCAGTAAGTTGGGATTCAATCCCAGCTTCTGATAAATATGTCCTAAACTCTCCAAAGAGGTATTATTCGCCACCTCGATCAGAATGAAATGACTTGATACTTTTACCATGAAGCTTCTCCACTACTGCCCGATACTCCTTGAATTTCTCAAAGCATTTGGACTTGCGGTGCAAAAGGTAAATGTACCCAAATATCCAGTAATCATCAATGAAAGAGACAAAATACTCTAAACCACCTCTAGCCTGGATCGACATAGGACCACACAAATCAGAATGAATCAATCCTAGCACTTCGTGGCTCCTATACCCTTTTGCCGAAAATGTCCTCTTGGCCATCTTACCTTCTAGGCATGATTCGCAAGTTGGATAGTGCTCTTCCAATGGACCGAGATGTCCACTAACCACTAACTTTTGAATCCTCCTAAGGTTGATGTGCCCAAGTCTAAGGTGCCACAGATATGCTTGATTCATCTGCGAAGACTCATTCATCTTATTCGACTTAGTCATGATATTATTCAATTCATTTTGTTGCACTGTGGGATAGTTTGGTTTAAGAACATACAAATTGCCAACTAATGAACCAGAACAAATCAAACGATTTCCATATCGAATAATAACCAAATCATCAAAAGTAAATGAAAAACCATCCAAAACGAGTTTAGAAACTGAAACAGGGTTCTTTCTAAAACTAGGAACATAAAGGCAATTTCTTAAAACCAAATACTACTATCAAAAGACAAAGTAACGTCTTTCACTGCAACAGCTGCCACTTTCGTAGCATTGCCCATGTAGACGGTGATCTCTCCCTTCTTAAGCCGTCTGGTTTTCTAGAACCCCTGCAAAGAATTGCAAACATGATCAGTGGCTCCAGTATCTACATACCAGGTTCTGGTAGATACAACCGCTAAACATGTTTCTACGACATTAATGAGAGAATTACCTTTCTTGAGGAGAGGGCAGTCGACCTTCCAGTGTTTCAACTTGTTGCACTTGCGGCATCTTCCTTTCGGTTTCTTTGCCACAGTCGGAGGGACCGGAGCATCCTGTGCCTTCGCCTTTCCTGCAGACTTCTTTCTCTTCCTGCCCTTTTGAGGCTTGGAAGATCCAGTCTGCTCGGCGACTAGCACCTGAGGAGCCTGAGTGAATAAGGCTTCTGTCGACTGAAGCTCTGCTAGTAGTTCTGGAAGAGCCATATGCATCTTGTGCATGTTGTAGTTCAACTGGAACTGATCAAAGCTCTTCGGTAGAGACTGGAGCATAATATCAACCTGGGTCTCCTCGTCGATAAAACCTCCCATAACTTCAAGCTCATTGAGCTGCGCCATAACCCTTAGGGCATGCTCCCTCACGGGTGTGCCCTTGTCCATGCGCGTACTCATCAGAGCACTCAAAGCCTCTTACCTAGCAGCCCTAGATTGATGTCCGAACTGATTCTTGTGATTGAGAACTATATCTGTTGTAGTGGGCATAAACTGTGGCACCCCGCCTTACTAGTTTTGAAAATCAGAGTAAAATTTTCGCATTTGTTTTCAAAAGGTGGTGCGAGCTTAGTTTTTCGAAAACACTAACTTGTTGCGGG